TTCCTTTGAATATATATACGTGGAAATCACTGAATTATATGGTGGTTCCCTTTTTAATTTCTGGAGGAAGCTCCGTACTGTTTTCTGCAGTGGCTGCGCAAGTTTGCCCCCCTGCCTGTAGTGCACAAGGGCTCCCTTTGTTCCATATCCTTGTCGCATTCATCTGTCTTTCTGATTAAAGCCATCCTAATGGGTGTGAGGTGACCGTCCTTTTGATTCGCTTTCCCCTGATGATGAGTGATGTTGAGCACCTTTTCACGTACCTGTTGGCCATCTGTATATCTTCTTTGAAAAAATGTCTGCTCAGGCCCTTTGTCTATTTTTAACTGGGTTCTTTATTTTTTCTACTGAGTTCTCTTGCATTTTGGATGGTAACCCTTTATTGCATATGTAGCTTGCAAATATATTCTCATACTCCGTAGTTTGCATTTTGTTTATTATTTCTGTTGCTGTGCAGAAACGTTTCAATTTGATGTAGTCCCACTTGTTTATTTCTGCTTTGGGTGTGGAATCCAAAAAGTTATTGCCAAGATGAATGTCAAGGAGCTTACCTCCTATGTTTTCTTCTAAGAATTTTATAATTCCAGGCCTCATGTTTAAGTCTTTAATGCATTTTGAGTTGATTTTTGTGTATCATGTAAGCTAGGCATCCAGTTTCATTCTTTTCACGGGGCTCTCTAGTTTTTCCAACACCATCTGGAGAGACTATCCTTACCCCTTTGTATATACTTGGTGTCTTTGTCAAAAATTAATTTATCTGATATGCACGGATTTCTTTCTGGGCTCTGTTCTGTTCCATTAATCTATGTGTCTATTTTGTGCCAGTACCATCTTGTATTGATTAGTATGGCTTTACAGTATAGTTTGAGACCAGGAAGTATGATGCCTCTAGCTTTGTTCATTTTTTTTCAAGATTGCTTTTGGCTATTCTGAGTCCTGTGGTTCCTCAAGTAGGGTTGTTTGCCCTATTTCTAAGAAAAATGCAATTGGAATTTTGATAGGGACTGTATTGAATCTGTAGTTCACTTTGGAGAGTATGAACGCTTTAATGACAGTAATTCTTTTTTCCTTCATTTGTTCATTTAAGTAATTTCAGGAACCCAGGAATCTGATCCTGGTCCTCCTCTCTCAAACTAGAGGAAGTGTGGGTCTCCTTCAAAGTGCCCCAAAAGTGCCTCATACAACTGCTTGTCTGAGTCAAGTCTCAGGGAAAATCAGTGCATCCACTATCTCTTCCTTTAACCCCTGGTTCTAATCCATGTCATAGTTCACCATATTCCACAATATCTGTTTAAGTTCCCTCAGGTGTCTGGCAGTTTGGACAACTGGAAAAGACCTGGAATTTGGGACCTGAAGACGCCTTTGAGTACCAGCCCTTCTACGTACAAACTTTGTGACTTTGGGACAGACACTGCCCTTGTCTAAACCTTAGTCTGCTCATCTGTAAAATGGAAATAATAAGAGTTTTATAGGGGTCAGATAAAATAATGAATGAAAAAGGACATTAGAACATTATACAATGGTTTGGTATGTGCGTGTTTTCATACAGTAGAGTGTGACAATTAGGAGCACACTTTTTGGAGTCAGACTGTATTTACAGCCTGCTTCCCTATTCACTGACCTTGTGACCAAGGACACATGACTCTGAACCCTTTTTCCCCCAGGTTCATTGTCTGTAAAAATGGAGATAACAATAGCTATATTTTAGAATCGTGGAAATACTGAGATCATGTATGTTAAGCATTTAATGTCATTTTTAACATATAATAAAAAGGCTTTTTTTCTCACTAGTGGTTATTTTTGCCTTCATTGTAAGACCATTACTGAACCTGAGGACGTTATTGTCCTCAAAAGTGGGTCCTTTAGACATTTAATTTACTTCCTTTTGTTACCCACATCAGAATTTTTGTCTTTAATAATAAGTGCATATGCACTTGTCTTATTTTCATTGTTTAGAAAATACTTTTTTCAATAGTTTTAAAATGCATAAAAATCTAGTGCACCATCTACTTATCTCCGCAGCTAAGGTTATTTAATTTGACCATTTATTCTTGAATTTGAACCAAGAATTTACCAGGAAAATCACAGAAGAATCGATCCTCAGAAACTGGTGTAGGCTTTTCTTACAGGAATAACAGACCCAAAGTAAGTATTTGAGAAAATGGTTGAGCAAACAAAACCTGTGAGAGCTTTGGCCTCATCTCTTCTGGTCAATCAGGAGGCTCCGTAATTAGGTATGATTGTCATGGTTGGTCAGGGGGCTTGTGGAGCCCCGTGTTAGGATGGGGCCATGGGGATGTGCTCTCATGGGGCATCTTCTGTATCCACAAGTGGCCCTCCTGAGGAAAATGAGATTTCTGAACGTGAAACATTTGCTTGTGGGATAGAAGATTAACTATAGTTACTTTCGCATCTGTGGCCCTCTGCAAGGTTGCAGGGGGCCGCGGCTCTAGGGTAACCTCACTGGGAGATCTGGTCTCTGCTCCGTGGGGCTTCTCCTCCTTCGGCAGCTTGTTCTCACGGTAGTTACAGAAGGTAGAAGTGTGCGCTTACTCCTGAAGCTTAGATTTCAAAGTGGCACATTGTCTGTCTGCTGCTGTGTTCTATTGGGAAAAGCAGTAGAATGGAAAGCCAACCTAGATAGGGGGAGAGAAGAAATAGACTCCAGCTTTTAATGAGAGGACCTGCAAAATTGCATTGCAATGGGAGAAGTGATGGATCACGACCATTTTTGCAAAACATGGTGTGGTAAAACTGTTATTCTGCTCTCTAAATAAGCCATAGTAATTTTCATTTCCTCTTGTAGTACATGAGTTTTCTGTCCCCCTACATTCTTGCCAACACTTGATAGGTTACAGTCAAATTTTTAAGTCAACCTGATATATAAGGTAAGTATCACATCATTAATTAATCTTAGTTTCCTTATGCTGGTGAGGTTGAGCATCTCTTTACATATTTCTGAGATTTCTTTTGAGAATTGCTAATTCATATCCTGATAATTTTTATTTTGGAATGTTTGACTTGGTTTGCTTGATTTGTATGAGTCATTTCATATTCTAATTCCTTATATACCATTATCACTACAAATTTCTTTCTTTTCATTTGTCCTTTAAACTATGCCTGTGGTAAACCTCATGATGGGAGAAAATGGTGAATTTTTATGCAGTCAGATATGCTAATCTTTTCCTTTATGAGTTGTGCTTTTTATGACTTAAGCTATCCTCAGTTCCAGGATCTTTAATGTATTACTCTATTTTTTTCCTAAAAATGGTTTTAAAATTTGCGTTTTATATTTGGCTCTTTAATATATCTGAGATTTATTTCTGTGTATGACATGAAAACAGGGACCAGGATAAACCAATATGCTCAATTAATTTTTAAAGAGTGCCTCTTTCCCCACTGAATTCCGGTCCATCTCTGTCACTTACCCAACCTCCGTGTATGAGTGGGGCTGTTTCTAGACTCTGAAAGTTCCATTGACTTATTTGTCTGCTGTGGCACAAGAAATATGATGTTTTTTTTGATGATTTTGCCTATGGAATAGTTTACTTATTATTATTTTTCAAGATTGTTTAGCTACTTGTGTACCTGTCCTTTTCTATGAATTCTGTGTATACCAGCATTTTAAAAAATCTACTTTAAGTTCGACTCTTCTGTTCTGAAACACAGTGAGACACATACCTAGTAAGTGGCTGTTCTCACTGAGCACCTGAAGCTTAACTCCTCCCAAGTTCACGGCCATTCCCAGTGAGGGGACATGTGCTCCATGGAAGAGACCTGGGATTATGTAACACCTCTCATCCTGGGAGAACCATTGCTGTTTCTCCATGTTCCTACTTGCTGAGTCGTACTATTAAGGTGGAATCTTAAAAGCTGTAGGAATGTTTTCTTTAAAAGCAAGTAGTTACTATGAAGCCTGTATCTAATTAGAGCTCTAGGTCTTTGGGGGTTCATATCCAATACCTCAACTCAGAGAGGCCCCAGGAATCAGCCTCTTCACTGACCTGTTCTGCAACCATTCGCTTACGTCCTGTGTCATGGCTGTCACTGCTTTAGGTTCAAGGGATAGAGTGGCTGCTCCTCCGTTCTTGAAAAAGAAGAAACAAGGATTACTTTAATTTCATATGTGAAAGAACTAAGGCACAAAATTAGTCAGTTTAACTAATTTGATTCAATGCAAGTTACGTTTGCTTATTACCGACAGTTTCATCCCGATTATAGTACAGTGTGTTAGGTGCTCAGGATTGGGAAAGCAGAAGATGAAGGGGAAAGGTCTTCCCTTCAAAGCTGGTCTCATCCGACACGACCTATGACAGTCCGCATGTAGACATTACACTGGAGTCCGTAGAAGACTGTTTGCCTCCGTCCTGGGCAGATTTTGATCACTTAAGCAGGTAGACTCTTGGTTGGCCTTCGATAAATGGGAGTACTATCGTCTGATTGCTGATGAAATTATTATCTGAGACATACTGAAGGCCATACTAGCGATTGGAGCAAAACGGGACCTTAGGAGAAATACCTCGTTCCACAAACAGGAGGAGAAGTGGATGTTAGGCTGCTTGGAACGGAGCCAGTATTTAGAACATATGGAGATGGAATGGGTGGTGAACGGCGCTTGGCTCTCCTGCACCTCCTAGCTGGTAAACTCAGTGGTATAGGAGACCTGACATAAATTAAAAACCTGCACTGGCTGTCCGTGCTTTCTCATTTCAATATTAATTCCTTTCTAGAAGCAGCTCCAGTGTAATCTACTCTACAAAGCCTTAGTAATTGCTACCTAGACTTAACCGTCTTCCATTGACCTCAGCTGTACAATGTGCATGTTTAAATTGCAACATTGTAATTGTCAGTACACGTGTTAATGTGTCTGCCTGAAAACAGGGACCATGTCTTTTTGGCCTTCCTGTTCTCAGCAAGGAGCACAATGCCTGTTAGTCGAATGGATTTTTGTTGGTCAACGCACCTATTAAGCCCTATTTTCTACTGGATGACTAGACTTCTTTGGGTTTTCATTAAAAAAAAAAAAGTCCGTGTTTCTAATGCGTTGTATGAGGTAGTGACCTATAGCGCTGATGTGGCACTGTGGTCACAGAATCTTGTAATTCTGTAGGAGTGTGAGTGTTGGTGCAGAGTGGGGTGTGATCCTGAAAGGAAGCGCTAGATTATGTCTCAGACTTGTCTAAACTTTGTTGAGATTTCCAGGAAAAACACTTTCTTAGTCACAGGATATTTTCTTCCTAAATCTATGTACTTTCCTTGTCCTACAAAATTCAAACTCAAATAACTCAAAGTTGGGTTTTTTTTAAAGCCTAAGAAAACCAAATATCTGGTGTGTCCTATATCCGGATTCTCTTTTGTTTTTAGATTAAACATTCATTCTGCATTTCCCAGATACCCTTTCTGGCGTTTTGTCTTGAACTTTGAATGAATGTTCTCTTGGATATAGATGATGTGACACAGCTAGGGAAGTCGTTAACCACATCTTCCCTGAGAAAAGCATTAAAGATGCATGTTGACTTTGTTTTGAGTTGGTAAGAACTTACAGAGAATTTGCCATGAGCTTAGTAGGCACCTAAGAGTTTAGTAGCACCTCTTTCTGAAGAAGTACACTGAGGTTAAAACTTAGACACTATAATTATACCCTTCAAAGGATGCACTGAGGTTGGGGAATCAAGACAAAAACTCAGAAAGCAGAAAATAATACCAAATAAAAACACGAGGCGATGCAGGGTTCAGAATACAAGTGCCAGAGGAATCGGAGGAGGAAGCAGTCAGTGAACAGGATCTTGGGATGAGGTGGGATAGGATCATGGGCTTAGTCATCAAATAAATCTTGTTAGGACTCCTACTTATGCTGTCACTGAGTAGACATGTAAGCTCGGCAAGTGACATCATCTACAAACCTCAATTTACTGATTTGTGAAAGTGGGCTGCTGTCTACCTCATGGATTATTACAAATAAAGAATCGGGTAGTATATGTAAAGCACAAGTATTTGGTACATCAGTGGCCTTGATAAATAAAGCTACTTTACTGAGAAAATCGGAGGGCCTATGTTCAACTATACTTCCCAGAAACATAGTTAATAATAATAGTGAATCCCCATGTGCCAGGCATTCTATTAAATACTTTCCATACATTTTTCATGCAACGCTTAAATCAATTGTATGAGAAGTATTATCACTTTCACATAACAAAAGAGAAAAACCAAGAGTTATAGAATTGCTTGAGTTTAAAAACTTCACAACTAGTAAATTTGATATTGGAACAGGTCCGATATCTAAATGACACTGGACAAATGTAATCTTCATTCAGGGTCAGACTTCGTCATCTGGAACTTGAATGCTGTTGCCGATCTGTACTAAGATCTGACCAACCTTAGTCTGTCTATGGACTTCAGTTCACTTCTCAGCGTGAGTATTATTTAACGGGACCAAAGGACCATTTCAAAAGTCAGCTTCCTGATGAACTTCAGTTGTTCTTGGATGTTAGTTGGCGACTGAGGCATAACCTGTTATGCTGATGCCATTGCCGATCTCAGGTCACTGATTAGAACCTGAAGAATAAAATCAGGCCATGTTATAGTAAGACCTTGTCTGGAGGACTATCCACGCGCAGTGCTTTTATATGCCTGCTGAAGAAAACACGTGTCTAACCAGCCACATGTGGGGAATTGGGCTTGAGACCTGCCCAGGCCAAAAGTGAGATAATAAATATAAGA